GGTACTTCAAGAAGGAGAGTAAGTCTTGCTGGTGCTCAGCATACAACTGATTTCACAGTTTATTGAAATTTGACTTATTCTGTAGCTGCTTAAGCATTCAATCCTATTCTTTATTAAATCAGTTGAAAATATATATATATTAATATATATTGATTATGTAGGGGATTTAATGACTAAATAACGTGATGCACAGCTCACCAGTTTTCTTTATTTTATCCTTGCAGTCACATTAAGTAAAATGTTTAATGAGAAAAAAAAATCTATTGATTAATCTCTGCTGATTAACAAGGGCTGCTCTAATATGGCAGTTCCAATACTTATGGTTTCATTACGTTTCTGTTTCATAGGGAGTATTTAGAATTCCTAATATTTTCAAAACTGAGACCAAAATAAGGAAAATTATTTCAACTTTGATTAAATGAAATAATGTGTTGAATTACATCGTTACTATTTCAAACTTTCTCTTCATTTCCTCTTTTTCTATGAAAAATTGTTGTTACAACTCATACTTCTGTCTTTCATTCCAGTCATCTGCTGCTTGGTGGCATTTTTTATTGGCCTGATCTTTGTGCAGCGCTCTGGAAATTATTTTGTCACGATGTTTGATGACTACTCAGCTACTTTGCCCCTGCTTATTGTGGTCATTTTGGAGAACATTGCAGTTACCCGAATTTATGGAATAGAAAAGTAAGTCAGAGGAAATATATACCCCTGTTCGTATCAAGAGTATTCATTACAATACTTATTACTGTTATAACTCTAAAGCACCAACTATTTGCTATGAACACATAAATTCAAGTCAGTAGATATCTTTCTTTGTAAACTAACTGTAAGACAAAGATAGAAAAGCAAAACAAAATGATCACAGTAGGAGTTAAGGATGAAAACAAGAATTTACTTTTACAATTATTTCTTGCTGGTCTTTATGATTATAAAGCTGTTATTCTTGGTGCCGTAAAGGAGTTAAAGTGGGTCATTCTGGACTTGAATCAAGTCTTAAAAGAACAGGTTTGGAACAAAGCATAGTGTGTCAGGTGAAACCCATAGAACAAATAGAGAATGCAGTAAAAGAGTCAAAATTAGAGGTAGAAAGAAGGATGGATGGGCAAATATCAGGAATTTATATATATAAAGGACAGCAAGGAAAGGATTTGAAGAGGTCATAACAGTGGTCTATTCAGCAGATGAGGAGGAACATTTTGAACAAATCTGCAGTATTTTGGGTAGTCTGAGAGAAACAATGCAAACTCTAGTGGCTGTAACAGTAAGAAGGTTTTCATTTATTATTTATTATTATGGGATGTTCTCGCACTTAAATATTCTTTGCATTACTTGTGAGGGAAAAAATAGGAAATTATAGCAAAGAATAGGATGAAAACTTAAATGTAGGAAGCATGTTTGATTAAAAAAAAGTTTACTCTTCTAGCAGTGAAGACTGAGAAGACTATTGTATCTCTAATGTTTCCACATAATTTGACAGAAACTGTGAGATTGGTGGCTTATAAGAAATATTAATAGAGTGAAGAAAGTGATGAAAAACTTTGAAAATGAAGAGAATGGATTTATGTTTCATTAGGTGTAGAGCTGGGGAACGCATAAAGAAAAGGAAATCTTTAGAGGGTACAAACCATTTCCAAATTCAGCTTCTTTTTAAGGCTGTGTTTCACTATGGTGTAAACAAAGAGAATAACCCAAACTATGTGGTTCAAAATTTCTTTCAGTGTTTATGTGACAGTAACTTCACATGTGTAACTGCTCTCAAAATGTATTTATTGCTTTAAGAACTTTTTTCATGCACACATCTCAGTAGGGAGTAGGACCACAAGGGATTTAAAAGAGAATCAAAGCTTGTGCACACCAAAAGAATTAGCTCTAAAAATATTCTCTTTTTCTACTGGCTCTGGAACAATATACTCCATCAAGAATACAAAAATAGTTTTGTTCAGATCATAACTTGCAATTTTGAGGCACAAGAAGGCAGATTTAAAACTTCACAAACTTTTATTTCAGCAGCTTATATGATGCAAACCATAACTTATATATAAAGATATTCTTTTACACTGCAGTACACATATGGATTCTAAATTATTTTTGCAAAATCTGTAAGATGTCTTGTTTTCACATGTGCTCAGAAGCAATGGCACACGCCTCAGCAAGCATTAGGCAAGCATTAAAAAGATTTTTGTAAATTTCTGTAAATTAAAGGGGAGTTTAAATATCTTTCCAGTATGGTTTAACAAGCTGCTCACAAGCTAAATTTAGTCTACTAGATTCTCCCATAAGGCCACCTTCTGAGAAGGGGAGGAGGGCTAGTATCTTCTCTGGCCTGCCAGTTGCTCAAAAGAGCAGTCCCGCTGCTTTCTAATGCTCAGATTGACAATGTGCCAAGGAGGTGTAGGTGAATAGTAGCTATGGCTAGGTTTGGCCTGCTTTGGAAGCAGTGTCTGCTTTTTCTTCTACCTTCACAAAAACTGGAAAGGGTCATAGGCTACCTCCATGACATGTGGAGCATCTACAGCAGTGGGTGGTCTAAAATCTCATCCTTTCCACTGCCTAGAGTACCTAAACTATTCATGTAGTTTACTACTTATTGCAGGATAAGGCCATCTGTATGAGGCAGAAACAGAATTTCAGGTTTGTCAGCCTCCATGAAAGTGACAGAAACAGAAAGGGTATTTCCTGTAGCACTCAACCTTTTTAATTGAAGCTAATAGAAAGTAGCTTGGTCTTCCAGTTCTGCTTTGATGTTTACTTCTACGTGAAAGATTATTCTTCAGAAAACACATGGTAACACACAGTATTGTTTGAATTCACAAACTAAGTGAGCCTGTGTTTCAAGGGAATAGATGTAAATGTGATCTAATTGGTTAGTAAAATTACAGGTATTTCACTGTTTCTCTCAGTGCTCACCAAAAATTATTCATTTGATGTACTTTAAGATGCCACTAGTCTCAATTTTCTCTTCAGCAATCCAACATTATAACTTGGATGAGGCATTAAATTTGGAACCTATACTTTTATTGACTAGAAGGGTATCACACTATTTTACTGTACTAGTTACAGTGTATTATGTCTGAATCTTCAGTGTTCAAAAGCTACTTTACTGAGTCATTACACTGCGGAGTAATTTTTTGCTCAACTTTTCAGAACTGTAATAAAGTTTTATTTTTCACGCCTTCCAGTCAGTTACAGTGCAGGCATTTCTATACATACATTTTGTCAATTTGTCTATTCTTTCAGATTAGATACTATCAACTACAGCATTTGAAATCTCAGTGGCCAGTGTAACGATAACCTTTTATTTCCTTCACAGATTCATGGAGGATCTGAAAGATATGCTTGGGTTTTCTCCAAGCCAGTATTATTACTACATGTGGAAGTATGTTTCACCCTTAGTATTGTTATGTTTGCTGGTAGCTAGTATTGTCCAAATGGGATTAAGTCCTCCTGGCTACAATGCATGGATTGAAGATATGGTATGTATATACTGGATGTCATCGCAATCATAGTAATCAGATATGAAGTATTTCAGAAGTATGTAAAAAAAGAAAAAAAACAGAAGTTTTCAATTACAAATTCAATATCAGTATAAATAATGATACAGTGATTAACAATCTTTTAAATTTTGAAGGTTTTTTTTGCATTAAAATATAACCACTTGACATGAGTATATGTGTTTGTTGGTAAGTTTTAGTTTGTTGGTGTATGTTGGAGATGTTTTAAGGGCAAGAGAAGTTGTTCACTTTTATAAATTTTATCTTACTGCAGAAAATTGTTGGTATTTCAGATACCACATCAAATTTTTACTTAGAACTAAATATTGAGATTAGCAATGTGATATATTTTCCTTTTTGGGGGCAGGAAGTACCTGCTGTACCTTATGTGGAACTTGAATTTTAATCCATACCATGATTGTCTTAAGCAAGTCCAATAGTCTGACTTTTGAATTCAATATGCCTCCATATTGCATATTTCCCTCTATAAAATTGCATACTAATTGAGCTGTTAGACAAACTGAGATGTTGTCCAGTGATTCATGTTGGAGTAGAGAGGCATGCTTGTGGGGTAGAGTCACTGGTCCAGTAAATGAGTTACAGTTTATGTGAAGTATAGACAAAGCAGAACAATTCCACAAGATGATCTGAAACAGTCCCTGTCTACTTCAGCTGTTAGCCTACCAAAGATCTATTTTCCAGGCATGGTTACAGATACCACTGCATGCTGCTCTGCTGTTTTAAAGGATCAGGGAACTACAGGCACATTTAGCAGAAGGTTGAATATGAAAATCTTGTTTGGGCTCCGCTTCAGTGCTCTGAGAATGTGAGAAACTCTGGGATGGCAGTTTGATACTGCTCCCTAGCAGGAAAATACCAATCATACATTCCATGATTGTTCAGCTTCAAAACCTGCAGTGATGCCCATATTGTGGATGCAAGATAACAAGTAGATTAGCATATATTTGAAAACTTCAGGCTTTAGTGAGAACTGCAGATTTGCTCTTTTTAAAGTAAAGATTTATTTAATCTTTTTCTCTTTGCATTCTCAGGCAACAGAAGAGTTCCACAGCTATCCAACATGGGGAATGATTGTCTGTATATCTCTGATGGTATTAGCCATACTGCCAGTCCCAATAGTCTTAATAGTGCGCCGCTGCAACCTTATTGATGACAGCTCTGGTAGCTTGGCATCTGTATCCTACAAAAGAGGCCGGATAATAAAGGAGCCTGTTAATCTGGAGGGAGATAATACAAGTCTAATTCATGGGAAGAGTCCAAGTGAAGTGCCATCTCCGAACTTTGGGAAAAACATATATCGAAAACAGACTGGATCACCAACTCTGGACACTGCTCCAAATGGACGCTATGGTATTGGATACTTAATGGCAGATATGCCTGATATGCCAGAATCTGACTTGTAATTGCAAAAAAAAAAAAAAAGTTCTGTTTGTTTCTCCTCTTGCTGGTCATGGCTCCCCTAAGAGAGGCGGTCGTATTCACGTACTAAGGTGCAATCTCAGGTGCTCCATAGTGACGGTCTTCAAGATGTTATGACTGTCTGTACAAACTCCCTTTGGATTTTCATTTGCACTGAAGAGAATAAATGGAAAATCAATGGCAGCCTACATCTGCCAGCATAGCTGAGAATTTGTTTTCTTTAAATTAATTTCTAATTTTAAAGTGTTCTATCACTGAAGCCCAGATCCCACTTAAATGATATAATATTTCTGAGGTAATATCCCTGATTTTTTTTTTCTGCTTCCAAAATTAACTCCCCAGTATTAAAAGTGAGCTCTGAAGAAGTTCACTAAACCCGTGTTTGTGCACACATTTGTATGTACCTTATGTAGATATGCTGTACTTATTTTGTTAGCAATGATAATTACCTAGGCTATTAGCTGAGTAAAAAAACCTGCAAACTATTTTCTTATGTAATATCTGTATAGAGCAATAGTATTAGAAAAATCAAGGAGTAGACTTATGGGAAGGCAAGAAAAGATTCCCTGTTCACTGGGGACTACATAAACTGTATTTGTATACGAGGGCTGTTAAGAAAGTAATGCCTCCTATTTTATTATATTGGCCAATGGCATCAGAAGTGGACGTTGGTGGTATGGCAGCAGAGGTTGAACCTTCCCACCAGTAATCAATTACATTTTGTTGTCATGTGACAGCTGCTGAGGGGCATTCTAACAAATGGCATCTGACATAGAAGCGCATATGAAGTGAAGGTGTGTCACTGAAGTCCTCCATGGGAAAAAAAAATGGTACACATTGACCTTCTGCAAAGCTTGCTGAACATTTTTGGAGACCAAACAATGGATATGAGAATATGAGCAGACTGAGACTGTGGGTGGTGTTTCAGGAATGGTGATAGCGATGTGAGAAGCAAGCCATGTTCTGGATGGCCATGCACAAATGTCATACCACAAAAAGAAGAGCATCTTGGTCAGTGCATCTGTGCAAATCAGCAGATTACAACTAGGGAACTGTGTATGGAGCTGAATATTAGCTCTAATGCACTAGAAACGATGGCGGCAATACTGAAATATCATAAAGTTTTCACCAGATAAATCCCACAAATGGTCACAGCAGAAAAAAAGAACACCTTACTCAAATTTATCAGGACAAAGGCTGAAGGTGACAGTATCTTGGATCACATCACTACTGGTGATGAGATGTGGAATCACTAGTATGAGCTGGAGTCAAAACAGCAGTCTACGGAACAGTGACATATAGGTTCCCCACCAAAGAAAATGTTTAAGACACAGCCTTCAGCAGGTTAAGTGGTGTGCACTGTCTTTTGGGATGGTAAAGGGTGATCCTTCTGGACTCCCTGCAACCCAGACAAACTATCAACACTGACCACCACATGACTGACTAAGGTGAAGGCTCAAACTTCCAAAGTCAGGCTAGAGAAAAAGTTAACCTTTCTCTTAAAACATGATAATGCCAGGCCCCATAACAGTTTGAATACCATGGAGCACATTGCCAGTGGACTGTCCTACCACACGCACTGTATAGTCCAGAATTGGTGCCTTCTGACTTCCATCTTTTCAGGCTGTTGGAAGATGGACTGCATGGGCAACAGTTTCCTAGAAATGAGAGCAAGTGTGAAACAATGTGCTATCTTCACTGGTAAAGATTTTAACAAGCGTGGCATGCAGGCTCTTGTTCATCACTGGTGAAAATGCATAGCTAACAGTAGTGACTGTGTTCAAAAACACGTGTTTTGTAGTTCAGAATTTGCTCTATCAGATAGCATTGTTCTCTTTGCATCTGTTGTTGTTTCTGTAAAAATAAATAGGAGGCATTACTTTCAAAGCAGTCTACGTATTTTGTATAAAATATTTGTTTTTTCAGTGTGAAAACAATGTAAGAGTGAGTCACTCCAAGAATCTTAAGGATTGTGCAGATTCTGCATTTTTTCTATGCTGTGTGCCTAAAAGAGACCTTGATATTTATTGTGGGTATGAGATTACATATATATTATATTTATATAATATACTTGTAAATATGTATATTACTCTGTATGTAATCAAAAGTTGAAGCAAGATGGCTTTTTTAATTAGTCTCCTTCTGTTTTTGCTTGTTCTATGCCAATAATTTTTTCAGTCAGTAATTGCTAAGAACTGTATGCCATTACATTTTAACCTATGAATAAAGAGATTGACAAGGTATTTGTCTGTAATTTCCTTTGCCATTATTAGAACATAGCACTGCTGAGACAATACCAGGCTATCTGAAAGAATAACACCAATTGGAAGTTCCTGAAGAACCTGAAAACAAAAATAGTAAATGAGATTGCTCTCTGTTACTAAACTACTGGACAAGGACTTTAACTATGAATACAGTAGTTTGATGTGTTACTGTGGACTGACATGATACTCTGAAAAATAGCAGATAGTTTATTCCTTATCTCAGAAATCTTTGAAATTAGGTGTAAATTCTAACTTCACAATCTATAACAAACAGAGGACAGAACTTAGCTGCATTTTTTCAGTGTCAGATCAATAAATAAATTACTTCATTTGAGACAAGCACATATCTCAGAATCATAACCAGATAAGGATTTCTTACTGTCTTACTTCCAATCATTCCAGCCTACCTGTTTCAGAGAGCAAAAACTGAAACAGATTTTGTACATAGCTCTGTGTATTCTCTATCATGTAACTTCTTGATACTTCTTGACCTTTGGCAGGGGAAGAAAATTTGTGCTCTCTTCACTGTTGGTCCTGGAGGTGCCTTCTGTTTGTCCACATGTGGAATAATTGCTTTGTAACACATACTATAACTGCTTGTTTCATACCCAACCCTGAACAAATCAAAATACCTTAGCTACTTGGTTAAATTCCTTAAGGACAATTTATTTATTTATTTTGTTTTTAGGATGATGAATCTGGATAAAACACTGTCTCTAAGCTGTCTTTTTTTTTTTTTTTTAAAGATTCCAATAATTAAAATAGTAGGACTATTAGACTTAGTTGAGAGACTTTTAATTAATAATAATTAAAGATACCTTTAATTATTAGGCTTTTTTTTTTTTTTTTTTTTTTAACACTAGTCAAAAACTGTGCACATAAAGTAGTTTTCAATTTAGTCCTCTAAAATGCATGTATCAGAGTGTTTGGGAGAGCTGGCATAGTTTAACTGCTTTTTCATAACTGATCAGTTGGTAATATTCATAGTTGTATAATGGATCTTTGTTAGAGATGCAAAGGAAGCATCCACTGGCCAGTCTACAAAGAGCAGAAGTTCATTACTACACAGTACTTGGCTGTCAAGATACATGCTTTTAGTTATACAGACCTTAGTCTTAGAAGTGCAGTGTCTGCTGTTACAAATAACCCATCAAAAAGAATATGAACTCACTCTCAAAGCAAAATAAGCACCTCTGTTAAAAATGTCACCAAGAGGACCAATGCAATGTAAGTAGTATTAGTGCTGAAAGTTAATACTGTCGGGGAATATATATCTTGTTTCTGCACTTTTACTTGCTTCCTTGAAAACTTCTAGTGAGTATTTAGATTTTCCACTCATTTAAACCACTGTTTATCAATCACTTGTTTTCTTTCATCTCCAATTAGCAAATTTCACCTCAGTTTTATTAACTTTTGCAGGCTTGAAGAATATATGTCCTGTCTACTGGTAGGCGTTTGATTCGTGGTTTAATCTTAACATTGATTGAAGTGCAGAAGCTCCTTGGAACTTCATTTATTCTGTTGGGTTAAAAATACATTCAGTCCCTCCTCCCTAAAGAAGTCAGAATTGGTAGGAATTGGCAAAACAAACAAACAAACAAACAAACAAACACCCCCAAAAAACCAAAAAAACAAAACTAGATTTGTTTAAAAACATTGTATCTGTAAAGTGTAATATTCAGGTGCTTGGATATGAAAGAGTTATTGAAACAAGATATGAAACTTTGTGTACAATTCTTCTAAAACCAAGGAAATTGGCTGTTCTTTCCTACTTTGGGTACAGATTGCTACTTGCTGGCCAAAGGGATAAAAGGAAAGTAGCAGTAGAGTTCAGGAAAAAAGAAGATTCAGATATTAATTAACTTGAAAGGCAGAATATCTATGTGTCACGTAAGTTATAGCCATAATTAATTTTCCTTTTGTTAAGGAGAAGATCATTGCAAAAGGCAGTCTTGCTTAAAAGTAAACAGAATTTGAATCTTACACAGACAGAAATAGCCTAAGAACCAAACTGTACATGTGAAACTGAATATATTACCAATATCATTTATTGCAGCAAGTCTAAGGTTTCTGAAACCAATATGTTTTAAGAAATCTGATGTCCTCAATGAAAGCTAATAGAACCTTTCAGCATAAGTATGACACAAATGAAGGCCATGCCACTGTACCTCCATAGACTTCAAGAAACTCAATTTCAGTGGACAGCAGAATGGAGATTATAGTCTTATTGCTTGAATGTTGTTTTTCCTCATGTTCCAGAATGTCATCGGTACCTTACAGAAAGTCATGCAAAGAAGAAAAAAAGAAGAAAAAAAGATAATGAACAAAACAGAGGTCAAATAATCATAATCCTGATCTTAGAGAGCAACTGACACAAGTCATTTGATGACAGCAAACTGATATTAGTAGATGAGTCTTCACTCTGATGTAATCTTGTCATGCTAGGGAAGAGTCACTTATAATTATGATAGCAGTGGATGATTAAACAAAGAACTGCATGCAGAAAGCTTCTAGATATTTGTCAAATATCTGTCTCTACTGGACACCAAGAAAGACTAACGTGCATTGTGCAGCTGAAATTCAGTGTGCAAAACAAACAAAAAACCCAAAGCAAGCAAACAAAACAAACAAAACAAAAACAAACAAACAAAAAACACTTTTCTACTCCTACAGCATATTTGACAATTTTATATAAATGTAGACATGCCAGTTTTGAGAAACACAGGAAAACTTAATGAAAACTTTTAAATGTTTAGTTAGATTTTGTGGATTGGGGGGTGGGAATGAGAAAATGAAACAATTTAGCTGTGATTTACTTCCATTGCCACTGGATGGTGCTCGCATTTCATATCGATGGGAAAAACGGCATGGTCAGGAGTTTTTAAATGGGGAGAATATCATTCTTTTATTCTCTACCTTTGAGAACTATCATGGTCTCTTTCTAGAAGTCGGTGCTTCACAAGTCTTCTCTACCTTCAAATGGTTTCTTTTTTTTTTTTTTTTTTTTCCCCCCCCCCCCCCCCCCCCCCCCCCCAGTTTTTGTTGTCGTTTTTGTTTTGCTTTTGTTTTTTAATATCCAGGAATGGAAGATACAACAAATCTTTAATGCTAATGAAAACAGCAACATACTGTCAGTATCCCAGTGCCTAGCCTGGGTCTTAGAAGCAGGCATCTCAGTGCTCCATCATTAGGTACGGAAAGGTGCAATGTGGTAGCTGAAAGCAAAGGGGAAGTAAGGGACACCTAGAAGGGACAGCAGCTGATGGAGTGACTGTAACTTTCTCAAGAAAGCTAGTACTGTGATGTCTAGTAATGTTATTTTTATGTCTTGGGCAGCTGTTAAAACCTTTTGTTAGTGAGGGTGTAAAGAATACCACTGTGATAGAGATACTGTATCTTTCATCTCTGCTGTATCTTCATAACTTAGCATTACGTGAACAAAAGTAGTATGTAAGATAAATCAGCTTATGTCTATAAATCAGCTTCAATAGGTATATCTTAGCTGTTTCCTTTTTCCCAATTATGTACATTGAATGGTGATGAGTGCTCCCATGCAATGATATTTATGTTGTTAATACAAATAAGGCATTCAGTGAAAAAAACAGCTGTCTTCTGATTTACTTCCTTATATAAATACATATATGCATCCTTGTGTGTGTATTCATATATGTACATATATACATCCACACATACACATATATAAAAGAATGTACATATGTATAAATGTATACACACACACACACACACACACACATTTGTGTATACATATAAGTATATGAGAAGCCCTCGGGATGTCTCATACCCAATTCAAATTCAACAGGTTGAAAATAAAATTGTTTTTCAGTTGCTAGGATCAATTAGCGAACAATTGTGTATGAAGAAAATAAAGTTTCTTTAAAAGAAATAGTTGGTTTTCAGATTTTTGATTAAAGCAAAAAGGAAATACATGCAAAGGAAGAGTCAGGTTTGCAGTTCGAAGAACAAGAAGTGAAAAAGAAGTAATGGAATGAGGAGGAACTGTAATTGAATTTATTATAAGAAAAATGAATACAAGAAAAATGGAAAAGATACTGCCGAAATAAAGATAATTCAACAACCATACCAGTATAAATTGAACAGGCAGTAATAAATCAGAAAGATGAAGAGGTATGGAAAGGAAAAAAAACAAACAAACAAACAAACAAACAACAAAGCCTCCAGAAAGAAGACAGGATTTGATGGCTATGTGAATTAGGATGCAACCGTCTCTGGTAGATACAGCCTACAGTTAGATGCAGTTGTTGAAGAGATATATGAATCAAAGTTGTTTGAAGGTGTGTTAGCATATGAGAGGAGATAAATTAATCAGGACAGAAGAAGAAAGACTTGGGATGAGTATGAATCCATTTCCCTTTAAGTACAGAAATGTCTTTGACATAGTCATTTTTCATAAAGAATTTTGAGATAGTCTGGGGAAAGATACTGAGGAAATGCAACTGTAAGGATAGAAGATGTAAGGATAGAAGACAGCAGATGTAGACGCTTTAAACCTGTTTCAAATCACTCAAAAAAGATAGCAGTCAGAATCTGGTAATAAAGAAGGAACCGCTTACCCCTTACCAAGCATCAGGGTTTGCTGAATGTTCCAAAGGAGACAGTCTCCAACTAGAGATACTTCCCTTGCAGCTGCTGGCCCTCAAATGAGGTTAGGGAGGGGCAGATCCCGGGTCCAACCCTTCTAGTCACACAGGTGAATTGTTTCCACCTGTGCTCCCAGGGCTGGCTATGCCCTTTCACCATGTGCTCAATCACTGGTTCAGCCCATGACCTAACAGCTCCCATATAGGAGTCTTCCCAAATTATTTTATCTTAGCTATCTGAATTGAAGACAAAGCTGTCAGGGTAGAATACCAGGTAAACTGTACGATAAGGTTTGCAGAGGAAAACAATTACTTAAAAGCACATGAAAGTCATTGTATAAGGATACGAGTAGGCAAGGTGAAGAAATATGAGAGTTTGTGACTAAAATCTCTGATTTGGAGGCTGCAGTGTTACTGTGACTTAACATTCTAATAAATCTCCTGAGTATTTTCCTACTGTCAAGGATATGAATAGTCCCAGTCATTACTCATAGACTTGAAATTAGCCAAAACTTAAAACACCTAAATGATATGTATTTTGCTGCATAGCCCGTAGAATGGAAACCAAATACCTAGTCTCCAGATGCAATGTGTCTGGTCAGTAAAGTGTTCCAAAATTATAGATCTATAAATGAGCAACATTTCCTGTGGGGACTTGACTGTGACAGAAACCCTTGTTCTCAAAAAAATGAGAAGCTAAGTCAAGTAGAGAAACTGCCAGAACTGACAGGTGAGAGACATTTATGTCTGTGGCTCTTAGTGGAAACTGAGTATTCAGCTAAAAAGTATATTTTTAATTGTAAAGAGGGCTTAGTAACATCTTAATCAAGATGTCATGAATGGTATACTTCTCTTTAGGCAGCAAAAAACATAATATCATGCTTACATGACTAGTATATACATGCTAGTATACACATACACATGAACATGTCCATATGCATACAAATTCAGCTATAATTCAGCTACTTTCCTGGGAGAAAAGCAAAAGAGGAATAGAAAGATAGGTACTTAAGAATCTTTACTCATCAAGAAGATTTATATTCAAGTGAGTTTAGGATTATTCTATAAAAAGTCTTACAAATCACAAACAGCTAAGAGGTAGTGGCACTAGACAAAGAGTGGGCTTCTGAATTCCAGAAATAAGAGGATTCTTGAGAGGCAATTTGAAGCTTAATGAGAAAATCTAAAATCTTCTCTAGACATCAGATTCTCTATAGTCAGTTTAAAAAGGCCTCCATATACACTATAGAAATCCCAGCATGAGGTTAGCCTCCCACACAACTTAATCCCCACACTGTTAGAAGCTTCCTTCTGATTTTCTTGATTCCTCTCTGCTGACCCAGGATTTATCAGATTGTTCCCATATTCACCACAAATGCTGCATAAAATGCTGTGTTGGTCTAAGAGATTATTCTTTTACATCATTGTCTCAAAGCTTGCTGGGGACACAGATGAACAAGTTCAAACAAGTCCTGGGCAAGGCTTGTGAAATCAATTGTCTGAGGGATGCAGATGGGCAAGGCCAGGGAAAATGAGAGAGAGATAAGCTGCAGTTTAATGGCCAGGAAGCAGTCTTTTGTGTGGACTTATCTCAAGGAAGATGGCCATCTCAGGAGGTGCTGCACATGACTCTTACCCAAGCGCCCAGGAATGCCACGATGGCAGAAGAAGGATAAAAAGAGGACCTGCAATCATGAAGGTTAGGTTTTCTAGCAACAGATTCCTCTTGAAGAAGAGGAGAGTTTTGTGACATGAGAAGCCTCACATCCTGTCCCTCTCCCTTCTGGACCTACTCTATCGCTGCACCTTCTTGCTGCCTAAGGCCAGCCATGCTGCTGCTGCTCTCCCCCAAAAGGTTTCTGACAACAGATTCCTCATGACATGATGCCTGCATGCAGAAGAAGAAGAAGAAAGGTGTCTGGCATCAGATTCCTCACTACGGAATGCCCGCATGCTGATGGACTCTCCTGGGCCTGCTACCTGAGTCCTGCTGCTTCCTCCCAGACTTATCCCGCGGCTTCTTCCTTCTACCTGCTTGCTGCCCAAGGCCATCCAAGCTGTTGCTGCTCTTCCCCTGCGCTGTTGCCTCGGACCATTGGGACGGCGTGCAATGGGACCACTGCTGGATCCTGGTGGTGACTATCCCCGCTTTACTATCCCTGCTTTATTCTTGCTTCTTTCCTATCTTTTCTATCACCCTCCTTCCCTTCCCCATCATCCTAATTCATAGTAGTCACCCTCCTTCACTTCCCCATCACCCTGATTAGGATTTATAATAAACTGGTCAGAATAACACTTGAACCATTTCTTCTAAATCTCATGCCAGCTATACAGATATCAAAGAACTTCCTCTCCCTCATATAAATTGGAGTGAGACAGTTGGCACAATAGATTTGGTAGTATGGAGAAGAAAGGAAGTGCTGAGAGATGAAATTGCTAAACCTGCACTGCCACTAAAGAAAGAAACATGAAATTTCAATTTCAACCTTTAAAATATGCCATTCTATTTATGAAAACTTTGATGTGAACAAGAGAAAACAATAGCAAAAATATCCACAGCTCTGTATGAGGTTTATGTAATTTATTATAGTCAGCTGAAAATTAGAAAACATGACATGCAGATATGTATGTTTCTACATCTGTACCAAAGAGCTGGTTACACTGATTTTTTCACAGTTACAGAAAAACAACACGGTGGACTGCCATTGGTTTCTACTATTTGTTAAAATTTTTCCTGCTGTTCTGCCTTTTCTCTATTATACAGTCACCAAACTTCAGAAGACACTAACAGTTTGGGGAAGTACCTGGAATTTGCAGAGCCATATTAAAGAATGTATCACACACATGTAAATTACATTGTGTGTATATGCATTGAATTTCTTAATTTTCCTTGCAGTCTGAATGCAGATAATCTGAGCCTATGTTGCTATGCTAGACTGGAAACGCTTGTGCTAATACTGCACAGATTAAAATGAATCTAGTCTGGATCACACATGGCCTCTGTACATTTACTGCATCTCTCTGGGATTACATCTCATTCTCTGAAATGCACCAATTTCAAGCAATTTGTCTGAGGATTCTGTGATATCAAAGAATAAAATGGCATGATACTGAATAAATCTAGCTCTGATGATGATGAGGAGGAGGCAGTTTTATCTTCCACTCTCATTCTTCTCCACTTTGCCATTGATAAGAACTTTGCAGAAGAGATCCAATTCATTATCTCAACAGAACACTTCAGCTTTTACTTCACTTCATTTTCTTTGGGTAGTGAATTGAATTTATTCAGCATGGGATGAAATGAGTGAAAACAAGAGGAAGTAGTGGACAGCTGGAGTGGACTGTGAGATGGAGCTCTTCCTTCTGTGAATAGCTAAATTACTGTAGCAGCTCAGTTGTGTGACATTTGCCCAAAAAGGTAATATTAGTTGATAATCTAGATTTTGCCCTAGCAAAAACAATACCCAGATCCACTGTATTGTTAATAAAACCATATTCTTTGTACATGAACTTTCAATGCATGTATTACTAAATGAGTTTAAAAGCACTTTCTTTTTGAGGAAGGTTAATAATCTTCTAGAATAAATTGTGAGGAAAATGTTAGTGCCTTATTGTACTTAGTATTTAATGAGAAAAAAACCATATCAGTCATTTATATTTTAACCTTGCCTGCTTTCTGCTGAATTGACTCAGTATAATTCCTTGTATTAATGTATGCTTGATTGTGCTGCTGACCTTTCATCGTCACTGTCATAGTACTGAATGGTGAATTTTATTTTACAGAATATCATTGTCTAACTACTGGAACTCAGTAGTTTCTTCAGATTCAATGCAAATATGTCTAAATCCTATATCATATCTTAGATTTGATGCCTAACACAATTGCAAATTTTTATAAAGTTTTGAATACTGTCCAGGGAAAGTACTTCAGAAACTCAGCATGTAGTGTAACAAATTTTCAGAGTGCATGTCTAAAAATGAAGAAAGATGTATAATGAAAATATAACAGTTCATTGTCCATACTGGATCTTTGCATAGTTACTTATATACTATAAAAAGTGAAGAAGAAATTACTTGAAGATGTAACATCAGGAATAAAGACAGAAGTGCTTGTGGCTGTGGTTGACTCATCAGTTTCTTCAGATGTAAGATTTTAAGAAAAATGGCAAGTATCACATTGTTCTTATAGGCATAAGTATATCTCGTCTTAGCAACTTCAGTAGTATTTAATGTGCAGCAGACTTCTCTGTTATCATTATAGATTGAATCAGCTTCTTGAGAATACGTTTTCTGTAGAAAGTACACAAATAGAAACTCACTGAGATTGAGATATAGTGATCATTTTAGGCAATGAGACATCCTACACTAGTGATGTTTAAAACATTCAGCAGAAACATGATGAGCCCATTATATTTATATTATGTAAAATAAAGCAGTATCTTGACTGGTACTCAAAATATATTTGAATTCCTTGATAGCAAACATCAACAAATAAAAGGTGAATTGAGGGGTAAAAATATGGAAATCAAAATGCAGAGGAGAAATGGGGATCAAATCTGAATATCTCAGTAACATCGACATGAAAATAATCTGTTTTATTTCAGTTGCTAAAGAGGAAAACATCCAAAGTTTTTAACCTGTGTGCATATCAGGAATGCAGGTCATTTTGTAAGGACAACTTCCCTGGAGGAAGAAAACAGATGACAAGATAGAGGACAAAAGTTTTCTATTTGCTCTACTTTTGTACAGACTTTCACATACAACATGCGTGAAGCACACAACTTTGGATTTTCCTTCATCAAATGCAGCCTTGCAGGGGACAAACAGACCTATACAATTATATAATCATAATGCTGGTATATCCTAGCACCTGGCTTGAGTGCAAAATCCGTTGTGGAATACAGTACAAAGCCAGAAATACTCCCCACCACACACATGCATTAAGACCCTGCTTTGCAACACCCTGATCTAATAAAGGATTATAATTTACCATTCACAGTGTGCTCTACCAGATAGTGCCCTAGTAAGCAGATAGCCAGTTACTTCATCATATCT